GGTCGTGGTCGTGGTCGTGGGGCGGCAAACCACAGGCGCCGGGCAAGATCAGGGTTAGGGTTAGGGTCAGGTCGGGAGGGTGAGGACGGCGAGTTGAGCGCCGTCGAGGAGCGCGGTTGCCAGGAGGTCAGGGATTGGTTGCGGCAGCAGCCACGCGGCAAGGCGGTGGTGTACAGCAGCACGATCGAGGGCGTCGAGCGGATGGCCGAGGCGTTGGGGTGCGCAGCGTTCCACAGCAGCATCGGCAGCACGGAGGACAAGGCGTCGAGGTTGGAGGCGTGGAGGAGGGGCGACGGCGCAGATGGGGGCGTCATCGTGGCGACGAACGCGTTGGGGTTAGGCATCGACGTGCCGGACGTGCGGTTGGTGGTCCACGCGGGCATGCCGCGGCGGTTGCGGGATTTCGTCCAGGAGAGCGGGCGCGCCGGGCGAGATGGGCAGCCGAGCCGGTCGGTTGTTATATGCAGTAGGGCAGCCGTGGAGGAGAAGGAGGTAGAGAAGGAGAAGGAGAAGGAGAAGGAGGTAGGGGAGGCAGAGAAAGATGGGAGGGCAGCCGGAGGGGGATGGGAGGTGTCAACAAGGACATACATCAGGGGAGAGGTATGCCGGCGGATCGTGTTAGACGAGGTCATGGACGGGCGGACAGACCGTCCAGGGTGCGAGGAAGGCGAAGAGGCATGCGACATATGCCAGCAGAGGGCGTCAGAGGTGATATGTGCAGATGACGGGGACGGACATGGAGCCAGAGACGACGAAGAGATCAGGGCGGCGTTCGAGACCAGTCAGCAAGCCGGGCAGTTCCGCCAGTGGCAGGCCAGGGCAGAGCGTTCAGAGTTAGGGGAGGAGGGGGAGATGTTCAAGCAGCAGTTGGCGCGATGGGCGGGACGGTGCACGTATTGCGGGATACGCCGGAGAGAGAGCGACGGGCACGCGTTGGACGATTGCCCAGGCCGGGGGGAGCAGGCGTGGGGGTGGACGGCGCAGTACAGGAGGCAGATGGAGGAGGCCATGTTCGACGGACGGATGATGGAGGATTTCAGCAGTTGTTTCCATTGCGGATTGCCGCAGGGTTGGTGTCAGCGATGGGGGCCGTCGGGCGAGGACGGCGGGCGGGTCAGCGAGGTCGAGGGCGGTTTATGCCAGTATAAAGGGTTGATCGTTGAGATGTTCGCCGTCGCAACAATCGGTGTAGGGTCGAGGGTGTACGAGGAGATGGTCAGGGCGATGCGGAGGTCGGACGGTTTGGAAGAGTGGGCGTCAAGCGAGAAAGAGGTGTATAAGTGGTTAGGGCAGATGATCCAATGGGGAGGGGTGCAGTCAAGCAAGTTATGCCGGTTGACGAGTCAGTTATGGCAGAAGGCGGTAGAGGGCGTAGCAGACGGGTGATAGAGTAGGGTAAGGTGGGGTAAGCAGGAGTAGTATATAATGGTATTGTAGTTAGAGAGGAAGGAGTTAGGGTTATATAGTAAAGAAGCAGAATAGAAAACAGAGTACCAAACGTTTTCACATGGGAAAGAACATAACAAAGACGGAGTGTTAGATATTTCAGGGGCCAGTAACAGAATTGAAGAGTAAGTTGAATAGAGGAGGGGAGAAGACGAAGGACGATCGATGTCGATAAAGGAAAATTCCAGGGCCATAGAGCAGAAGGGACATTTGCGTAGGTGAGAGAATATAAATAAGGATATTTAGGGGTAGTAAAGAGACAGTGGAATCGGAGAGAATCAGTAAGAGAAAGCAAATAAACACAACGTTTCATAAATGAGGAGAGGATTTATTTAGCAGTACGTAGAAAGGTAAGGCGTAATCAAATAGGGTAGGGTTGAAGGCAGGTAAAAAGGAGAGAGGTAAGGCGTAAGCATGTAGAGCAGGGTTAAAGAAAGGGGAAAGGTTAGGGTTATAGCCGAAGGAAAGGGTTAGGGATAGATGAGAAATGGAAGGTTAGGGACACATGGAACGAAGTGGGTAGGGGCGGACAGAGGGGGAGGGTTAGAGATCAATCCAAACAAACAGGGTAGGGATAGATAGAGGGAAAAGATCAGTGACAGTTGAAAGAAAAAGGTCACAGCAGTATAGTTCAAGATATAATCAGGGTTTATACATTTGAAGGTTACAGTACAAATCAATAAAACATAAGCAGGAAGCAGGATTTATTGTTTTATTACGGGGTTCAAGCAGCAAATAAGACACAGGTCACATATCAAGAAGCCATTCATAGTACCATAAGGGTTATATGCAATCACAATAATAAGATAGATACAATCAGGCATAAGACATATTACCACCACAAGGTTTAATATGATAGTGGAGTTAAAGAGGGGATAGTGACAGAGGGAATAAGCAGTTAAGAAGCAGCCAGAAGGAGAGGGTTAGAAGAAGAGTGAGAGGTACAATATGGAAAGGAGTAGTAGTAGCAGAAAAGCCCGGGCGGGCTTCCATCACTCTCGACCCAAGCTGGGAAGCAGAGAAGTAGAAAAGCCTACGCAGGCTTCTATCACTCTCAACCCAAGCTGGGAAGCAGAGGAAGTAGAAAAGCCCGGGCGGGCTTCCTCTCTTCATCTCTCAACCCAAGCTGGGAAGCAGAGGAAGTAGAAAAGCCCGGGCGGGCTTCCATCACTCTCGACCCAAGCTGGGAAGCAGAGAAGTAGAAAAGCCCGGGCGGGCTTCCTCTCTTCATCTCTCAACCCAAGCTGGGAAGTAGTAGTAGCAGAAAAGCCTACGCAGGCTTCTATCACTCTCAACCCAAGCTGGGAAGCAGAGGAAGTAGAAAAGCCCGGGCGGGCTTCCTCTCTTCATCTCTCAACCCAAGCTGGGGAGTAGAAAAGCCTACGCAGGCTTCCCGTCTATAAGCAACCCTAAGAAGGTGGATAGAAACCATAGGATCTTGCACAGGTTTCAACCATACCAAATAGCCAAAAAGTAAAGAGAAGCAAAAGATAAGAAAAGATAGAAACGATTTCGTAAGTTAGTTTTACAAATTAGGCCAGAAGTGACTAGTCATTTGATAAAGTGAAGTGATTGATGCCTTAGGTGATAAGACGTGTGTTATTTTTAGACCAGAATTTGCAACGGGAAATCTACCGAATCGATAAACAAAGGGAGAACGCGTCGCGTTAAACCTGGTATGACAAAAGGCAAACGACACAGCCTAGCATCCAGATGTTGGAAAAGAAGAAGGAGAATATGGAAGAAGGATCTGGTGTATGTTACTATGCCCTCATTGGTATATTGTTTCTGCATCTCTTGATGATGGGCTGTGTGCTTGGTAGGTCTATTTGTTCTGGTCGTGATGTTGTTTTGGTTTTTGGGAGATTAGTGAGGACGGCGGAGAAACGAAAGATGGGGAGAAGAGGTGGCGACCGTGCTTATGTAAACATGCGATGCCGTAATCATGTGACGCGGCAATCAGTTGGGCCTAGGAGGCTGGCGATAATCGCCAAGTAGGCAGGAGTTAACAGTTATTCTCAGTTACCGCCCAGCGTGATGCATTCTATAAGCTAAAACGGGTATAGAATGACTATATATAAGCATGACTATAGATTCCCGTCTTTTGTATTGAGCCTGCTCACTTATGTAGACGTACATCAATTTTACCACACCATTTAGCATCTTGATAATACGTCAACTTCAATACCATTAGCTCTATAACGAAGCGTGCTCTACGAGAAAGGCACACAAAAGAAGGCTACAACAGTGAAAGATATTCTAATACTACATCTTTCAACAGAGATCCAGCAGCATCGTCACACGTCAGGTCCTATGAAGTCATCGTCCATTAGCTAACTATCACCCGCAACGCCAACCAGCGCGACAAGGGCGTCAGCAAGTAAGAGGCTTAATTAAGCATAGAGAATAGTCCAAGGTAACTACATTCTACGGGTAAGAACTAGCCGAAGGAGTGATAATCCCATACACCAACCCATTCGTATAAGAATAATTCCTAGGCTCCTACGAAACACGACATGTTGTAAGTAGCTGGGAGGGTAGATGGTCACTGGATCATCAAGCATCCCAGATAGAAAAAGATAACCAGCTAAGAGACAGTAGGAAAATATACCAAGGACACATACTGTTATACATAAACACGACGCTTTCTCTTCTATTGCCACATGAAGTCCTGGTCAGATGCCTTGGTAACCATGCTCGACCTGATGCCAAAACGCTAGGGGCTACGGCCTTGGCCAAGGTCTGCAGCCACTAAGGGCTTGACAGGCGTGGGGAGGGACCCTCGACCTTCGGGAGTGCCGCCAATCATACGACTGCTTCCACTTACATACGCCTAGCCACCCATCCCCCATGCCTTAAATTCTCAACCTCGCCATCTATACCTACGACTAGTCCGTAGGGTTTTGTCTTGACGACCTGAACATCTCATACCCTCCGACTAAGCCTCACGATCAGAAGATGCAAAACCTCAGGGCACCACCAACATGCCGATCCAGAAAAAGCGAAAGCGTCAACCCGACGACACATGCACGGGAAGGCCGGCCCCCGACAGCGCAGCGCAAGCCCATTCGCCTCAAGATGGCGGCTATCTCAGGGAGGGCGAGTCCGTCAGGGAACGTGCCAGGCCGTACCTCCTCGCCGTAGCCGAGATGCCGCTGAACGCCTTGGACACGACCTGGAGTATTGGTCGGAATCGCAGCCTCGACCCGGGACACGTCCGCGAGCTGAAGGAGATGTTTGGGAAGGTTGGCGTAGAACGGCGCGCGACCGAGAACCGGATTATTGGCCTCTGCAGGGCCGAGCAGGTACGGCGCATGCGAGCGCGGAGCGACCAGCAGGGCGTCTGCTCCTTTCTTGACTGGGCCGAGACCAATGCCGGCACCAAGGTGGAGTTGATGGCGGGCCAGCACCGTATCCAGGCGCTTCGGGAGTATGTCAAGGACATGGCAGCATCAGAAGCAGCGGCAGTCTTATGGTGGACATGCGAGCTTTACGATAAAGGTATAGATTGTTGTCTGTGGCGCCAGCAGGGCAAGCGACTGACGAGCGACAGATCGGCTTCCGCACGATCTGAACGTCAAGCTACGGGTCAATCGCCGAGACCTAAGCCTGCCAGACAACCACGGGCAGATCTGGACGCAGCTTGTGTCGGTCGCCCCCAAGGGGGCAAGCGATCGCCTGGAGGAGCGTGTAGGCGTCGACATCAAGCTCGTCGAGGCGCTCCGTCTCGGCGGCGAAAAGAACTTCCCGACACGCCGACTCGTGACGCTATGGAATCACAAAAGATGGCGGGACATGGCAACGCGCTGGTGCAGTACGAGGCTGGGGCTTGAGACGTTCAACATCTCGGTGTTTGAGTGGATGTCCAGCTTGCGTCTCGACGACTACTGGTTCGCGAAGCTGGGCGCCGTCATCGAAACACTCCAAGCGCTGGCACTTAGCGACCCCAACGCACTCGGGCACCGAGACTGGCAGCACATAGCAGCAGGCCTACGCGGTGCCGGCCGCACAGCCCGAGAAGTCGAGTCGGTATTCTACAAGACGGACAGAAGCCGGCGTGTCCGGGTCGAGGGTTTGCTGGCGTCGCTGGACGACGATGGATACGCATCGGTATGCCGGGCCATCACCTCGAACACGCTAGCCTTTCCAGACATGAAAAAGCTGGTCCGCAGCAGCAGGATCGAGGCGCACGTCATGGTGCGGGTGCTACAGCACGTCATCGCCTGGATCGACCTGGACAGCGCTCTCGCCGTCGACGAGGTGAACCCCAAGGCCAAGAACAAGCCGCCGGTCAGGGATAACCTGGCCGCCGCCCTGGAGAAACTGAACCGATCCAGGGGCGCGGGGAACCGCGCCGACGACGCAAGCTTGCGGCTGCAGGAACGCGTCCTAAACTTTGCCCGGGACAACATGACCGAGTTCAGGGCGGCGGAGGCACGAGCCCTCCTCGACGACGACGTCTCCCTGGTCAGTACGCCCGCCTACGGCGCCCGCTTCATGCACGTTCCGTGGGCCCAGCTGCTCCGTCTCACACGGCGGATCACCGACTCGGGCGGCCGAGCCATCTTGCGACCCGACTGGCGAACCGACCGACCGAAGCAGCAGGCGGGACCTTCAAAAACCGGCTTCTACACTCATACAGGCCTTTTGTGCCGATGTTTTCAAGTCCGTGGACAGTCCCGAGCTGCATACTCCCGACGCGATGCTGGCCATCCAACGCAAGATCGAAGAGACGATAGCCACACACGCAGCCCAAATTATGGGTAAGGACAAAGGTGGTCTTGGGATGTCGGGGATAGAGGCTGGGGGGCTCCCCTGTCTGGGTGATACGAGCCTCCGTTCCAGCCCCGAGCCGTCGTCCGACGACGCACCCGGTGATGGTTTGCACCCCCCCGCAAACAAGCATCGGCAGCAAAGACGGCAAGCCTCAAAATCCAGCCATGCATTGTCCAACACCAGTGGCCTTCCGGATCACGACGGCAAGGCGATAAGCCAGGACCGATCACCAGAAAACGAAGAGGACGCACATCATTCTGCCACCGAGGAGGGCGTGGGCGACGCTGGGGATCCGGAGCGGGATGAACAGGAGCAGGAGGGGCATGAAGCGCAGGACGGATGGCTATCGCCCGAGGGAGGCCTCTCACCGCTGCCGCCACGTAAGGGGTTGCCTTCGCTGCCGTCGTCGGTTGACCGGGGTCAGAACGAGGACAAAAGAGTCGTTCCACGATGGAAGCGACTGCCCCGAGCGGGAATAGATAGGCATTAGTTAGACGTTGAAATAAATAAAACCAAAATCAGGAGCTGATTGATTGATTGTTGGACGGACTTCACTGTTGACTATTTCCCATCCCCACTTGGGTGTTTCGCGAGCGTGATGAGATGAATAAGCTTCATGCCTAAGCAGGAACAAAAAGAAAACCAAACCACAGACTCCTACTCCAGGCGTGGTTGCACAGCCCCGAAGGCGTCTCACTGCAGCACCCAAATACGTCAGTACTATATGAAGCCGAAATGGAAAAGAAACCTCACCTCAGTAGCGTCTAACCATTATAACGTTGCTAAGGGATTATGCATGCGCGGGCTTTTCCCTGCTTATAATCACGGCAGCCCATAGAAAAAGAAAGACTTCCAAGCATAATGCACCGAGACGTGCTTAGATCGTCGATTTCTAACCGTATGGCTATGCTCTCGCTGCCTCAAGTACAGCCTTAGGCTCCTGATGGGCTATTATAGTAGTAGGACGTAGCACATTCATAGACGTAAAGGTTATGGGTGGGAGAGTAGAAGATGTGCGGTGAGAAGTTGATCTAGGTTTATGAAAAAAACACAATTGATAGTTACCTGTTTCCTAAGTGCAACTTTTGACAAATATCATCACAACGCCCGAGATGGCTGACGAGAGTTTGTCTGACGACGGGCTGGACTATGGGGTCTTGTCTGACATTGAGGAGGATGGTGATGAGATGTTCCCCAGCAATGCTGCTTATAACGACGCTTTCCAAGAGCACGGTGGTGCCAAAGTTGACGACGAGCCGCTTGTGAGGCGATGGGCAGTCAATCATTCTTCGGGCCATCACAAGTTCAAAGGTCAGCCAACTCCGCAAGGGCTGATCTCCGTAATGTTAGACATTAGTACTAATTTTCTGTATTTTTGCAGCTCCCCTGTTCATCCAGAGGGTGTTGAGCAGTGAGTTCGAGCCGTCCGATGCGCTTGCCATGCTGCAAGAGAAGCACACAATCGACTTTGGCTCCAAGCACGCAGGTTCTGCGCAGGCGAAGCCATCCGACAGCTTTTTCCCCGAGTTCTTCCTCGACTTCCTCAGTATCGTGGGCAAACCCGGCCGACCAATCTCCAGCAGCGACAGCCCCATATTCGACAACATCACCGTATCTTTCCAGAGATGGGCACAGCCGTACGGGGCGAAACACGTCAGCGGGATACCTTTTGACATCGCCGGGCGGACCTTCAGGATCGCCCAGGCGGCGACGCGTGAGGTCTGGTTCATCGTTATGCATCCTATATCCGGCGAAGTCACCGAGCTTCCGCGCTCGGCGGCCGACGGCCGACGGAGGCGAGAGCAGGCAGGCGAGAAGAGCGGGATGTCCACGACCCGGGCCCGAGAGCTGGCAGCTTACATCACGGGTGTATTCCGCTCGGCAGAGCTGCTCGGCGAGGGCGTCGAGTCCTGCTGGCGTCCAGGGAGCCGGCACAGCCAACGGATCAGCTCCAGCAAATGGACCATCTTCCAGAACAAGTTCATGGACGGCTGGGCCGCCTGGGCCGGCACCCACGACGGAGACTCCTTCTGGCGGCAGCACGAGCCGGCCTTTCATGCCTACGACTATGGTGCCAACATTCAGATCGACGTCAGCCCGCGGCTTTACCATCTGCCTCGCGAGAGGCACTGCTCCCGTGACGACGACGACGAAGAAGAAGATGATGGGGACGGCGGAGGGCGGGGGAGCGAGGACGAGACCCGGCGTGGGATGGAGGGGCTATTTGTCGACGACGAAAGCAACGGTAGCCAGCCTGCAGACTCCACGGCCGACGACGAGACCGACGCGGCCAGCTACAGCCAGATACTCAGGGAGAGCGACGGGTTGCAGAAGCTCGTGCAAGAGCTGCATGGCCGCTTCAGACTGGAGAACATCGCAGCAGTCTCATACGCCCTCGCCGTATGCATCAACAGCGAGTCGGAAGCTGGACCGCGATGTCTCCTCGTCGACCGCAACATGATGGCGAGGGAGTATCCGAGCAGTCGTGACTTCACCTTCTACCCCCAGGCATTCCATCCGGTGTACGGGAACGTGTCCTCTAGTCGGCCTCCCGCGTTCCTCGACTCGCTCTTTGCCGCTATGAAAGGAAACATGAGCGACCGGAACGAGGGCGCCGACGTCTTGTCGTTCGGCTACTTCCAAGGCTACTCCAACACCAAGAGGAGCGTGCGGCACAGCCCGAACGACCTCCTCGCGACGAAGGGGTACGCCACGGCCGCGCTGACGGTGCCGACGTCGGACGCATGCGCCACGGCGGCGTCGAGGGACAAGCGCGAGCGACTCCTGCGCATCATCCGCGGCCAGGGGACGCCCGAGAGCCCGGAGGAGTCAAGGCCCTTCGCGCGCGAGCGCCTACAGATGGAGGTCGCCATCGATAGCAGCGAGGTCGCCTACCGGCTCGAGCAGGTCGTGTCGCTGGACCTGGGTCGCATGGTCGGCGCCGAGCGGACGTTCGAGGCCGTAATCCACACCATTTTCCAAATCATGCGTTTCTTCCTCATCGAGGTCGAGTCGTACGTCCACATCTTCCGCTCCATGCCGACCAACGTCTTCCCAAAGATCGTATGCGCGTACTCGCGCATATTCGAGCTGGCGCTGGGCGAGATGGAGCGCCGCTTTACCCAGGGAGGTGAGAGAGGACTTGACCTTGCGCATTCAGAGGCTGTGGCTGTGATGGACCGACTTGGAGGGTACATATTCACAGGACACGAGCGTCATCTCCCAAAAACGGTGCTGCGGCCTCTCGGTACAATCGACAGCCTCCGCAACGGGGCGTGGCCGTACATCGACCCGGCGCTGCTGAACTTCCGGTCGTCGGGGACAAGTGGGGCAGTGATCCACATCGGCCAGTGGCCCCGGACCGGCAAGGCCGGCAGGCCCGTGCTGCTCCACGTATCGGAGCTCCGGTATCACTACGGAGAACGGATCTCGGCGAACCGCGAGAGCGATCTCTGGTTCGCGCAGCTCGGCGAGGCCGCGTTCGGCAGCATGACCGCCGTGACGGAGTTCGTCGACGAGCTGATGCGGGAGCTGTGGGTGCCGCAGACCAAGTCGTTCATCGCCCAGCAGCTCAAGCGCAGGCTGCGCGAGGGAGGTGAGACTGACGGTAGGCCCATGACGTCGGACGAGACCAAGACGTGCGAGGCCGCCATCCTGGCGTGGCAGGATTCCCCGGGCGCGTTCACTCTGGCGGCGCTGGAGCGGTTGGCGGCCGGAGTCGCAGCCAGCGGCAGTCGCACAGCCGTCACAGTATCAAAGACGCGCACACGGCACGATTTTGCCGGCGAGCTGCTCCGCGTGATCGGCAGCGACAAGGGCAAAGACGCATTCTCTTCCAGGAATGCAACGTGGCCCCTCAAGCTGCGTCTGGCCATTGCCAACGGTCGGAAGGCGGGCGGCGGCATCGGGCCGTCCGAGTGGGCGAGCGTGCTGACGGGCTGCCTCCTCGCGGCGGAGATCGAGTGGGTGCCCGACTCGGTCCGCGGCCGGTTGACGTCTCGGAGCGTTGTTTGCCTGCAGGGGAGGGCAGGCATAGTGGCGAAGCCGTCCGGTCCTCTGGGGTCGCTACGACGCGCAGCAGAAGAGGCGCACATCCAGCACGAGAAGACCCTTCGACAGCGGTCGCTCCAGGCAGCAGGGACGGCCAAAATCGATTTCGGCCATGGATTCCCTTTCAAGAAGGTACCCGACCTGCTCTGCTCAGGGCTCGCGCATGCAAAGATGATGTTCACGCGGCCGGACGGAGACCGTAAGGTGCTCGACCACTACCAGCTCGCGATGAACTGTCTGGCCGAGAACCTTGATGACCCGCTGTGCCAGCTGATGCTCATGCTCACGCTGACCATGTGCTCGTCGTCGGAGACGCCGCAGGTGGAGCCCGGGGTGCGGGCGTTTAGCGCGTCGCCGAAGCGGAGGGATCCGGCGCAGCTGGCGCTGGCGACGGCGACGCGGATGATGTGGTTTCTCTATCGGGGGTCGTTCCCGTGGACCAAGGGCTCGGGGGGGACGGCATACGACGTGGGCGACATGACCAAAAAGATCGGTAAGCAAAGGCTTCCGGAGCCTACTGTCGATGCAGCTGACCGGATCGGGACACAGAACAGAAGGGTTGCAATAACCGTGTGCTGCGCGAGCTTGGATGGATCGTGGAGACGAAAGAGAGCAGGCGGATCACTCCACGGAACGCGGATGTCAACTTACAGTCGCGGGATGTATTGTTCGATCTCAGAAAACAGCTGGTGGCGGCACTCAAACGGCCGGAGGACTTTATAGGCATAGTGTTTCGTAGTCGTGACGAGTTATGGGTGGAGCGCTGCCGTGGTATCATTAAAAATTAAGCAAGTCATATAACAGGTATTAAGTCAATAAACTCAGTGAGAAGGGCAAAAAGATAAACATACAACACCAGGTATTCGCTGATCGTCACCGACTCAACTACTAATCCGGCCCTCGCTGGCTTGTCTATAGGAGAGCGGACGGGATCCCGAATTCTCCAGTGGGTATGGTCGTATGTGTTGAAATACACGAGAAGAGACGCTTATGAAGATATATCATATCTCCGTCTACATATAGTATATAGTTTTCGCTGAGCATATACATCAGGTTATCCGCTGGTTTATCTCCTAATGGTTAGAGCAACTGACTATACTATAAAGCAAAAGCTTTAGTAATAATAAATCTATTATAAATATCTCCTATTTAGCTCTACGCCTATAGTAACTAATTCTAGCAAACGTAATAGTATTGTTTAGAACTAATCTTCTAATTATTGAAGTTTAGTTAAGATAAGAATAGTTCCAGTAAAACCTTCTAGAGGTAGTAGGTATAAGCTCTTATAACTCTAAAATAAAGCTTATAGAGAGATATTTAAAAAATATCATATATACCGCAAGTAATATAGTCTATAAACTAAAAGTCTATATTTTATAGATAAACCCAGCTGTATTTAGATCTCTAGAGAAGGATAAGACTTAGATTACTTATAGTACTTACTACTAGAGTGTCTAAAAAAACCCCTAGGTATAAGAAGTAAATCGTAGTTAAGAAAGAGGTTTTTATAGAGCTTAATAGATTTAATTAACCTTTCTAGAGTCTTCACATAGATATATATAGACTTAGACTAATAGCCAGTGGTCTTATTATCCCTCAAAGCCGTGCATAAAATAAGACCAATAGAAACATAAAGATTGCTGATTGGGTGCCTCCTATACCCCGTGATAGATTGCAGTTTGTATACACACATATGAGCAACAGTGCGGGGTAAGTTAAGCCAACGCCAAAACAAGACCTTTGTTCCAACAAAGTCCAGCCCTTCTACACTAATAATTAACATCCACCACGAGACCCAAGAGGACAATGTCAGGCTCCCGTACGTCGCGATCGAGCAGCCCGGAGCCAGAGCGGCCTGGAACGCCGCAATTTAGCAACCCAGACCCAGAGCGGCCCGGAACGCCGCAATTAAGCAACCCACAGCCAGAGCGGCCCGGAACGCCACCTAATGATGCCCCAGTACGCGAGGATGACGATTGGAACTACCATTTCCACTTGGGATCACCTCCAGGATTTAACCAAGGGGCCCGGACCCTTGGTGAGAACTTGGTTGCGATCGCTGGATATTCGATCGCATCATCAATATGGCAGACGTGGAACAATGCAAGAGCAGCGCGGGAACGACAGCGCCGGAGGGAGGCCGAGCGACTCCGGGCGGAGGCAGAGGCGCGAGAAAGAAGGGAGAGAGATCGGCGCGAGGCACTCGAGAGACATATGCGTGATCTGTGCGCGAACTGGTTGATTGTATGGTTGTGTAACTTGCCGCTGGCTAACCCTTGCTAGGGGAATTGATATGGCGAACCCAACGATCTCGAATGACGATATCTTAGCAGCGAGGGCAGACGTGGGCTACCGAGCAGGGGCCCGCAACGTCATTGTGGCAGGTAGCCTTAACGCTGGGAAGTCGTCTCTTCTCAACGCTTTGCGGAACCTAAGCTTTGGAGACAGTGATTACGCATCCACTGGTGCATCGGAGGTGACGAACGAAGTACACCGATACGTTGATCCTATTCATGACGGCTTTGTGTGGTATGATACACCGGGAGCGGGCACGGTGAGCGAATCAGCCTTTGGGTACTACCAGAGGCGCCAGCTATACGCATTCGACCTGGTTATATTAGTCCACGAGTCTACTCTCACGCAGGTTAGTGCAGTCTCCATACGAAGACAGGCCGTACTATAGTACTAATGAGGGAGCTAAGTCCGACGTGCAGGTGTTACAGGTATGTCACGCAATGAAGACGCCTTGGATTTCCGTGCGGACGAAGAGGGACATGCACATCTTGAATTACCAGCAAGAGCGGGGGTGTAGTCCCGAGGAGGCGAGGGTTTTGTTTCTCAATGAAGTCGAGGCCGATATAGCGCGCTTTAGACAGCAGAGCGACGCCAGTGCAACCGGATTCACGGGCCAGTTTCGGGATTTTGTGGTGTCAAGAAATGGAATTATGCAGGCATTACAGGGGAGAGCATCGCCAGTGGACGCCGTGAGCGCATTTACGGACGAAGTTGAGCTACTCCGCTACATAGAGCTACTCTAGTAAGGGGAAGGCTTAGCTAGTTTAAAGGCAGCAAATGGTATACAGAGAAAGGCGTCTATCTATGCTTTCGCTACATGAGAATTAAGAACTTGCGTTTGTGGGTTTGTTGCATAGCTCCTTTGAATGATGTCTGGATATAAAGTAATGAGAGATGTCTATCTCTTCATGTTCTGCTTTTTTTGCTAGAACTAGATAATTACTGATTCAACTTAATGCTCCACCCATAAGGCTAGAAGACGGATTCTTGCAAGAGCCGGTAGCAGAACTAGCTGCTATGTGGATTCGAGTAGTTAATCCAGGCTGATGATAGTTGCTGTTGGTTGTGCTGTTCTCCGCAAGGTCGATTGCCCCTCTGGGCCGTCAAGATGACCACCATCATCTCCTGCGTCCTTCTTCGGCCCATATATACGGCCGGTTCTGTGATCGGATCCGGGATGCTCTGGCACGCGCAGTGAATTGCTGCCACCACCCGGGGGCTTTTTATTGACGAGGGCTCCTTGGACTATTCAAGTTAGATTCTGTTAGTAATGCGATATGTAACGTCGAGGTCAAAGGGCGAGGACGCACCAGCCACTGATAAGACTGCCAATGCAAAGAAATAGCTGAGCTTCATTATAGTTGATGATTCGACTGGAAAGTGACCAACTGTTGCATGAACATGATGCAGGAGCTCCCTTGACAGAACTCTTCTGGTTCTTATGCAGCTGAAAGGACCTAGGAAGTGTCATATGCTGTGGTATGGCAGCTGCGCTGAGGCGAAAGGTTGGAAAGCAGCCTGCGCCTGCCGTTGACGCGTTCGGGACAGAATTCAACACGGATCTAAATATAGCCACAGCCCATACGTTTCCATGATCTCACACCTAGCATCTATGCCAAGACCGCGAATGATTCAGGTTACATGTGTTATTTGATGTGACAGGCATTTGTTGCACAAGTGGTGTTTCCCAACGATTATATATGGTTTCCAAAAGATGCTTGAAGAGCTGAATGTACGTCATCTATTAGTAATAATATAAGTTAGTAAGTTTAGAGTCATTAAAAGAAAATATATAATAATATAAATAAATTATAATAATTAAAAGATAATAATAATATAATGAAAGAGGTTATATTTCTCAGGAATAAAGTGAAATATAGTATTTAGGAAGAGAATATTATAAGAAAAGGGAGATAAAGAGTTAGTAAAAGAGAGAGTATAAAAGATAAGTTTAGAGGAAGAGAAAGAGGGAATAGAAAGTAGGTATAATAGTAAGGTTAAAGAATATAAGTAGCAAAAGTAATATAAAGAATAGAGATATAAGTCTATTAAATTAGTAAAGAATAAGGTATTCAGAATAGTTATATATAAATAGTAAGAAGAAGAATAAGATAAGGAAGTATATAAATTAAGGAATAAAAAGAAATAAAGGAAGAGAAAGAATAAAAAGAGAGGAAATAACTAAGTATTTTTAAGGTAGTACTAGATATAGATATAGATTAATAGAGGTAAAAGAGGCTATAAGAAAAAGGAATCTAATAGAATAAAAAGATATAAAGTTTAAAAAGAATAAAGTGAAAAGAAGAAAAAAGGGAAAGAATTGAAATTAAGATTATTATAAAGAGAGGGTGAGAAACTTATTAAATAGAAATAAGAAAAGGGATATAAAAAAGAAAGAAAGGGCGTAAGGTTAAGAAGGATAAGATTAAGATAGAAGCATAAAAGAAAAAAAGGTTCCTATAAAAGATAAAGAGGTTAAGAAGAGGAAAACTAGTAAGGTTAAAATATAAAAGGGAAGAAATAAATAAGAAGAAAGTATAAATAGGAAATGTCACGGTCTATGGACCGGTGTTCGGCCTTCGGCAAGACCCTCAGCCACGACTCATTGGACCCACCAAATCCAATGGCGTATTTGCTAGAAGGTTCCAGGAATATCGACAAGGTCAATGCCAAGGTTATAAGAATGCCCA